ATATGCTGCTCAATAAAATCCACACAATGCCTTATGTACCTCAAATATACCAAGTCACTTTTTACCTATACTGATGGGACATTCTGATGACATGATTTGAGTCACTCTAAACTTTGATCAAAATATCCACATCACTCGATATCTAATATTTTATCTAACATTATCAGTATGTAAACTAGAACAAATTTGCCGCAGTAAAACTTTACCTTTTTCACCTATCATATTGATAGCAAATTTATCATGAATATCATCAGTACACAGCATACTTTATAAAGTAGAATGTAATAATGATTACAATGTTACACACATGTAACAGAGGTCATTATTTTTCAAAGCCTCCGCTAGGAGTTGAACCTTGACCTCTGGTTTACCAATCTTATGCTCTACCGAATGAGCTAAAGAGAAAGTCTCCCTAGCCGAGACGGTAGGAAGCAGCTTGTGTTGTACAAGGGTGACAGGCTAAATCAACACTGGGCAAACATGGATTTTACCTGTGAAGGGAGAATATTTGACAAGACAAAAGTTTGCTGGTGTACGGTATTTACCCATGTATACATGTATATCATAGTATTCTAGGACCTATTGAAGTTTATAGCAGCTTAATTCAGTATGTTCTGTTCAATAACATTCAATGCAATGACCAATTTATTCTGTTTGATAAAATTCAACATAATGACCAATATATTCTATTTGGTAAAATTCAACACAATAACAAAAATATTCTATTTGAGAACATTTAAAACAATGACCAAAATGCACCTTAAACATTTTCTAAAAGGCTGGGTTTGTCACAGATGATCAGCCCCTTGAGTGTCGAACACCGACACTGATGATGAGGACAACATGACTAAGCCGCCGGAGTTACAAGCCATGAGGAACATTTTCCTGGAAAAGGAGTAAGGTACTGTGACATATTGGAATGACTTTTTAATTTGTCACATTGTCACTAGTCCGAATTATTCTGACGTTTTATCAACTTTTTTATATTGGTCTGTCGTCGATTAACGTCAGAACTCCGGCCCTCTTTAATATGCGGGAAATAAGCGACCCACGCCTGGGTCGCTCTTCAAACTGATTTTTTACAAACAAATTGTCACTTTCACACACATGTCGCACATGGATCGAAAGATCTATTCTTAATGCACAAGATGAACATAAATTACATGCCTCAAACAACCAATACAATCACTAAAATCATATTTTTTCAAACTTACTCTGTTTTACTTTACGTTTTTAGATAGCCCCGCCTTCTAATGTCACGTGTCTAAAATCTCGACGGCCTACGTGATAACGTTGGGAAATACCTTCGGTAACGCAAGAAGTCATGTGACATTGCTCATGCCCTAATTTCCATTAAAAACATGGGTTGGTATATAAAACGTTGGAAAATACTTTTCGTAAAGATCTTTGAAACATGTTATTGATGCCACCTAGTGCATCACATGATGACAGCTAGATGATTTGAACAAAGATGATTCTCGTGAGGATATGAACACGGTAACTAATTATAGGTCATTAAATGGATTTTTTACCCTTTTAACCTTTGTACTGTAAATAAACCTCCTGATGCCTTATTGACAGTAAATAAAACCTCCTGATGCCTTATTGAATGTAACTAAAACCTCCTGGTGCCTTATTGACTGTAAATAAAACCGCCTGATGCCTTATTGAATGTAACTAAAACCTCCTGGTGCCTTATTGACTGTAAATAAAACAGCCTGATGCCTTATTGACTGTAACTAAAACCTCCTGGTGCTTTATTGACTGTAAATAAAACCTCCTAGTGCCTTATTGGCTGTAACAAAAACCTACTGGTGCCTTATTGACTAAATAAAACCTCCTGGTGCCTTATTGACTGTAACTAAAACCTCCTGGTGCCTTATTGACTGTAAATATAACTGCCTGATGCCTTATTGACTGTAACTAAAACCACCTGGTGCCTTATTGACTGTAACTAAAACCACCTGGTGCCTTATTGAATGTAACTAAAACCTCCTGGTGCTTTATTGACTGTAAATAAAAACTTCTGGTGCCTTATTGACTGTAAATAAAACCTTCTGGTGCCTTATTGACTGTAAGTAAAACCTTCTGGTGCCTTATTGTCAGTAAACAAAACCTCATGATGCCTTATTGACTAAATAAAACTTCCTGGTACCTTATTGACTCCATATAAATCTTTCTGGTGCCTTTTTGACCAAATAAACCTCCTGGTGCCTTATTGACTGTATATAAAACCTCCTGATGCCTTATTGACTGTATTTAAAACCTCCTGATGCCTTATTGACTGTTAATAAAACCTCCTGATGCCTTATTGACTGTCAATAAAACCTCCTGATGCTTTATTGACAGCAAATAAAACCTCCTGATGCCTTATTGACTGTATTCAAAACCTTTTGATGCCTTATTGACTGTAAATAAAACTCCTGGTGCCTTATTGACTGTAAATAAAACCACCTGATGCCTGATTTATTGCAAATAAAACCTCCTGATGCCTTATTGACTGTATTCAAAACCTCCTGATGCCTTATTGACTGTAAATAAAACCTCCTGATGCTTTATTGACTGCAAATAAAACCTCCTGATGCCTTATTGACTGTATTCAAAACCTTTTGATGCCTTATTGACTGTAAATAAAACTCCTGGTGCCTTATTGGCTGTAAATAAAACCACCTGATGCCTTATTGATTGCAAATAAAACCTCCTGATGCCTTATTGACTGTATTCAAAACCTCATAATGCCTTATTGACTGTAAATAAAACCTTCTGGTGCCTTATTGACTGCAAATAAAACCTTCTGGTGCCTTATTGTCAGTAAAAAAAACCTCATGATGCCTTATTGACTAAATAAAACTTCCTGGTACCTTATTGACTGTAAATAAAACCACCTGATGCCTTATTGATTGAAAATAAAACCTCCTGATGCCTTATTGACTGTAAATAAAACTCCTGGTGCCTTATTGACTGTAAATAAAACCACCTGATGCCTTATTGATTGCAAATAAAACCTCCTGATGCCTTATTGACTGTATTCAAAACCTCATGATGCCTTATTGACTGTAAATAAAACTCCTGGTGCCTTATTGACTGTAAATAAAACCACCTGATGCCTTATTGACTGCAAATAAAACCTCCTGATGCTTTATTGACTTATTCAAAACCTCATGATGCCTTATTGACTGTAAATAAAACCTCCTGATGCCTTATTGATCGCATATAAAAACCTCATGATGCCTTATTGACTGTAAATAAAATCTTTCTGGTGCCTTTTTGACCAAATAAACCTCCTGGTGCCTTATTGATTGTATATAAAACCTTTTGATGCCTTATTGACTGTAAATAAAACCTCCTGATGCCTTATTGACTGTTAATAAAACCTCCTGATGCCTTATTGACTGTTAATAAAACCTCCTGATGCCTTATTGACTGTAAATAAAACTCCTGGTGCCTTATTGACTGTAAATAAAACCACCTGATGCCTTATTGATTGCAAATAAAACCTCCTGATGCCTTATTGACTGTATTCAAAACCTCATGATGCCTTATTGACTGTAAATAAAACCTCCTGATGCCTTATTGACTGTATTCAAAACCTCATGATGCCTTATTGACTGTAAATAAAACCTCCTGATGCCTTATTGACTGTATTCAAAACCTCATGATGCCTTATTGACTGTAAATAAAACCTCCTGATGCCTTATTGACTGTATTCAAAACCTCATGATGCCTTATTGACTGTAAATAAAACCTCCTGATGCCTTATTGACTGTATTCAAAACCTCATGATGCCTTATTGACTGTAAATAAAACCTCCTGATGCCTTATTGACTGTATTCAAAACCTCATGATGCCTTATTGACTGTAAATAAAACCTCCTGATGCCTTATTGACTGTATTCAAAACCTCATGATGCCTTATTGACTGTAAATAAAACTCCTGGTGCCTTATTGACTGTAAATAAAACCACCTGATGCCTTATTGACTGCAAATAAAACCTCCTGATGCCTTATTGACTTATTCAAAACCTCATGATGCCTTATTGACTGTAAATAAAACCTCCTGATGCCTTATTGATCGTATATAAAAACTCCTGATGCCTTATTCACTGTAAATAAAACTTTCTGGTGCCTTATTGACTGCAAATAAAACCTTATTATGCCTTATTGACTGTAAATAAACCTTTTGGTGCCTTAGTCACTATAAATAAAACCTTCTGGTGGCTCATTGACTGCAATTAAAACCTCCTTATGTCTTATTGACTGTAAACAAAAACCTTCTGGTGCCTTATTGATTGTAAACAAAACCTCCTGGTGCCTTATTGACTGTAAATAAAATGTCTTAATGCTTTATTGGCTGAAAATAAAACCTCCTGGTGCCTTATTGACTGTAAATAAAATGTCTTAATGCCTTATTTGCTGAAAATAAAACCTCCTGATTCCTTATTGGCTGAAAATAAAACCTCCTGATTCCTTATTGGTTGAACATAAAACTTCCTGATTCCTTATTGGCTGAAAATAAAACCTCCTTATTGATGCATTCTTATATATTTATATATTTTTAATTACAATATACCAAACATACTGTAATTGAGAAAATACACATACATGTATAGTCATGTAACAAGTGTAAAAATTAAAATGCAAACGTCCAACATAGTACCAATATAAATGGAAACGTCCAACATAGTACCAATATAAATGGAAACGTCAAACATAGTACCAATATAAATGGAAACATCAAACATAGTACCAATATAAATGGAAACATCAAACATAGTACCAATATAAATGGAAACATCAAACATAGTACCAATATAAATGGAAACGTCCAACATAGTACCAATATAAATGGAAAAGATGTTAAATTGAACAACTCGTATGACCCCAATTTTTTTTCAGTTATATCGAGAGAGAAAAATTATGAATTTATCCAATTGTTGGATTTGAAGTTCACTCTATAACGAGTGTACCTATAACCTAATGCGATGGCGGTGAAACAAATACCTTGTTCTTAAGGTCAAGAATGGTGTCTGCATGTCTGACCAAAAGGGAGATAATTCCACCGCTGTTATCCTTATCTTCCACGTGAATTTTGATACTGCAAAACAAGAACATCTATACAAAATATATTTATACTTGTACAATCACTCCGGACTAACCTCAGAGAGTACAGGGTATCACCCAGGCCCAATACACTGGGCACTGTACCCACTGCTCACTTATACCATTTTAAAAGTCAATGTTTCCTTTCATCCACAAATTTTGAATTTAACATTTCGTACAGCAACACCAATAAGTGTGTAAATACATGGTTGATATACTACATCATTATAACGTGCTGATGAACACATAAAAGGAACTTGTTGACATGTTACATCTCTACGTAACTGAAACATGCAACCCACGGCTCACAGCCATGCGCCGCACTAAAATATTTCTGTGGAGGTCTTATACATGACATGCTAAGTGTTTGGTAATTATCTTATTTTATACATAACCTCAAAATACCAAAGAAGGGATCGCTATACCACTGTAACAACTGGCGTGGAATAAACTTACTTTCTATACCCAACAAGATATTGTGCAAAATCATTGTAAGGCGGACAACAGATGGAATAGACACGCTGCTGAGGAAGGAACAGGCTGGATTTAGAAAGGGAAGAGGATGTACTGACCAAATATTTGCACTCAGAAATATCATCGAGCAGTGTTCAGAATGGCAAAGACAACTCTATATAAACTTCATTGATTTTGAGAAAGCCTTTGACAGTATTCATCGAGACAGCCTCTAGGGAATCATGCGTACGTATGAGGTACTACTTAAGATGGTTAATGTCATCAGAAGTTTTTATACCTTCTTCACATGAAATGTTGGAAACAGCGACCTCAGCCTCGAAGTCAAGACTGGAGTGCGGCAAGGGTGTGCCATGTCCTCGATCCTGTTTAACATGGTCATAGACTGAGTCATGAGGAGGACAACGGAAGACGTACCCAGAGGAACACGTTGGACACCCTTCTCAGTGCTAGAGGATCTGGATATTGCAGACGACATTGCTCCAATGTCTCATTCATACCAACACATCCAGGGGAAGATAACCCGACTCAACAACTTCAGTCAACAAGTTGGACTCAAGATCAACCAAAGGAAGACTGAAGTAATGACTCTCAATGTGCAAGCACCATCACCAGTACGTGTAGGGGATACTGACCTCACGAGCACAGATACATTCACCTATCTAGGTAGCACAATCAACAAGGATGGAGGAGCTAGCAAGGACATCGCTAACAGATTGAACAAGGCCAGATTTGTCTTCATAAGCCTGAGAGAAGTGTGGAAATCAGCACAGTATAGGGACCATGGAAACAAATCAAAAATAGATTGTGGGTTTTTCCCTTTTGGGCAGAAGATTTAATAGGAAGGTGAATGCCTTGGGGCCTGCTGGTTGGATATTTAGGTGGCAGAAGTTTCAAAAGTTGTATGTGTGGGTTGAGCAATATATATAGATGTAATATGCATAAAAAAAAATATTAAAATTTTTCAAGTCTGGTTTTGTCTGGGTGAGTTTATTAAGTGTGTAATTTGTTGTAAATTATGGTCGATTCTTGGTGCTGAATTCAATACAAGATGGCGGCCCCCATAAAAAAAGAGTTCAAATAGGCAGAATTTTTTAAATATTTTATTTAAAGTTGTGTGAGATGATATTCTTCAAAATGAGGTCAGGTGAACCAGTGTGGATAACCCCATTTAACCAGGACAGTGGTAAACGTTAACACTATCGTCTATGGAAAATCATTTGGTTCTGCGGTCCCTATAGCACCAGAACCAAGTTGAGTATATACCAGAGTTTTGTGCTATCAACACTTTTATATGGTTCTGAATGTTGGCGGATGACAGAGGAAGACTTGTCGAATTTGTCAACATTTCACACCACCAGACTGAGGAAAATTCTGAAGATTTTCTGACCAAGAGTAATCTCCAATGATGAACTGATGAGACAGTGGAACAAGGAGAGTATGAGAGACATCATCAGGACGAGACGCTGGAGGTGGATTGGACATGTGCTAAGGAGGGAAGGTGACTCCATCACAAAGGTTGCAGTACACTGGACTCCTGAAGGTAAATGGAAGAGAGGTTGCCCCAAAACCACATGGCGTCCCAAGGTAGAAACAGAGCTCAGTGACATGGATCACAACTGAGGAACTATCGAGCATTTAGCAAAGGATCGACAGGTGTGGAGGAACTTCGTTGCTGCCCTAAACGCCACCGGGCGTAATAGGCAGTAAGTAAGTAGGTAAGAGTACATAACCTCAAACTGCAACGTTCATTCAAAGAAAATGACCTGCAAACTGTCATGAGTAATTGATGATGTTTTATCAAAATATCTAAGCATGAATTGAAAATATAACTTATCGTACATCTTAACAAATTTATCTCAAAATAAGCATTAATGAATTTAGAAAAACATCTTGAATTGGCCAATAAAAAGTGTAATCTAAATCTTACTTTTTATGAGTGAGCATAAGTCCTTTAAAAAACAATTTTAGTAATTAGTCATATTCAGCTGGGCCTAACCTTGTGCAAATGGCTTACATAACGCTGAACTATATTTAAATCTCCAAGGCATTACCAGCAAATAATTCTACTAAGTTCAGGAGGCACTCATATCATGGAATGCTATAGTCCATGTGGTGACATCGTCATTCATATGATGTCATAATTGTTACGTTGGATACCACTAACCCTCCTTTGGAGATGGCTGTTCTGTTCACTCAACAAGCATACACCAAAAAACTTCTACCTAAAATAGGTTTTTCGAAAGTCACAAAAAATTCGACCAAAAATTATTATTTTCATTTATAGCCAGATGTTCTATTTACCAGAATTCCTGCTCTTTCACGTCTCCTGATAGAGACTGTACCGTTACAGTACATGTAATCTTATTAGTGGCCAAAAGTTCTGTATATTTCAGGGCTGACTCAGTGTCTCTTGTCTCTATGGCTGTCTTCAGTAGCTGTGTTAACTTTTTCAGATCTTCAAGACTGGCTGTTTCAGTATCGCGCAACATATTTCTAGGTATGGCCGCAAACTACATTGGCAGAATCACTGAATAACTGTGTGTTTGATGTCTGCATGTTCCAACATCTGAAAATAACAATAAAATAATGAAACAGTGAACATGGATATACAGCATCATAACAAGTAAAACTGATCACCACTAAAATGGCTTGGTCTCTGGGAACTTTAATATCATCAATATTTACTCTAATATATTACATCAAATTTGCTAGATATATTATTATAGCTAATGAATGGATCTATTCTAATTACTATATATACATCTGTTCTAATAATAACTATTTTATAACTTTATCAAAACAACTGTTTATATATATATTCATTATGAATAAATTGTAATCAATGTATCTATTAAAGTTGCTGTTGTATTACCAGGGTATGATTACTTTGTTATAATATAACTGTTTATATATATATATATATTATAAATACACTGTAATCAATGTATCTATTAAAGTTGCTGTTGTATTACCAGGGTATAATTACTTTGTTATAATATAACTGTTTAATTTTTGTATCTTATGATTACTGTATCTATTGTAATGAATGTGTTTATTATAATTACTGATAAATGACTTTATCAATTATGATTACTGTAATTTTTATTGCTGTAATTTTATTATATATATTACAATTTCTTTGTATCTTTTATAATAATTGTTAAATACTGTACCTAACAATAACTGTATGTCTTAGAACAACAGTATGACTATGTTTATTAAATCTTTTATAATTACTGTATCTATTAGTTTACAATTACAGCGTGTTCAATAATTACTGTATCTATTATAATTACAAGAGGCCCAGAGGGCCTGTATTGCTCACCTGGATATCTAAGCAATCATGGCAAAATATTCTCCAAATGAGACCCAAGGGAATATGCTAGACCCCAAGGCCAATCCTTGTAGCATATATGTATTTGATTTTTTTATGCCCAGCAATTTTTTGTATGTTTATTGGGTGGGGATCTCAACTGTTTCCAAGCTGTGACTCAGAAACTAGGTCCCTAGGGTTGTGGCCAAACCCCAGGATCAATTCTAATATCATGATTGCATTTGTCTCTTTTTGCCCAACATCTGTATATATAGTTTTGGGGTGGGGATCTCAACCATTTCAAAGTTATGACCCAGGGGTTAAGTCTCCAAGGCTGGGTCCAGACCCTAGGGCCATCCTGGAAGCAAATGTGCGTTCCTTTCTTTTACCCCTTGTACACCAATGTAGAACTTGCCCAAAAACTTAAACCAATTCCAGAAGACTTGTGTTTCGGACCAATAATGAGCAAATGTGGTCCAATTTGTTGCTAAGGAACCTCCTAGCAATTGCTGTAACCATATTACAATGTAAATTTAATTAAAAGTCGAGTTAAACACCAAAACACAGCTTGCCCAAAAACTTGAACCAAGTCGGACGGCGACGCCGTGGGTACTGCTATAGCCCCCCTATTCTTCGAATAGATGAGCTAAAAATTAAAGGGGTTTGGAAATACTTCACTGCAAGTTTGTTCAAAAGTTGTTTATTATGTATTTTAATTAGACAATGTTGGGTGCCAACTGTTTTTATGGTAGATATTTTTCTGCTGACCAAAATTTAAAGTTAATGATTGATGTCATGTGTCATATCGTCATATCTTTGTACTGGTCAAATGATTGATATGACATTTTATCTTCGATATTCATTGTGTATATATAAACAATATATGTACATGTATTACCGATAATGACAGGAGTCTAAAATTAAACATTAGATAACTGCCTTCGGTATACAACGTAATTCTCAGAATACCAATTGCCATAGAAGGATTTCATTTAACAACTGACTATACTGCCTTTATTTGTACATGTATTTACAAATTATTTTTCAGAATTTCAATTGGCTCTTTATACTATTGATCTGCACATGCGCAACACTCCGTGTACATGTATGTCATGAGTTCCCATTTCAGTGGTAGTGGTAAGTATAATTATAAATACCTACGTCATAACAGTTCACTGTAAATCTCTATTATATAAGACTTGTCGTAAAGTATCAATAGATAATCAATAATGTTACATATGAATGCTTCCAAAATATAGATCATGGGCAGGTGGAACTTTAGAACAGACACACATTTTGACACATAATGACCACTCTTGGCAAATGGCCAATGTACATACACATACAATGTAAGTAATAAATGGTGGCTGATCTCACTCAAAGCAAATTATATTTATAGCTCAATGTGATAGTGAACATGTCCACATATTATCGACTGTATACCAGATAAACATTTTAGAATAAACATCCTGCATGGTTACCATAAATGAAATTGTGACAGACAGGTTATTTTTATTTAATTTATAAATTTTGAAGGTGATATGTGTATTAGCCGAGATAACAATAGCTTTCTGACGACGAGAGATTTTTTTTTATATATTGCGTCGCCGGCCGGGCCAGAGGAGGCCGGGTATTAATATTAGTACTAATAGGTGTACAATTCCACTAGGTCCATGCCCAATCAGGGCTAGTAAGATTTTATGTCACAGCTTAGAGTGAAAATTTTCAATATTTACTATAAAATGATGCCAGACACTTAGAATTTTTCAGGAGTTGACTGAAAGCTAAGTTCTCCAAACATGTACACCTTTGGTACTTGATGTGTAAAATCAAGAATAAGACATTTGTTGACATGTGTGGTAATATTGGGAAGATTTATATTAACTTTTACCTATTATCTAATCTGTTTGCATTATATATTTTTATGATTATACAATAAAGTTTGCTGAAACGAAATGTTGGAATATCATATATATTTTTTAGTGTTGTTACAAATATATGTTGTCATGGGAAACTTCTGTTGAATCATTCCCTTAATAGGCCTTCCATGTTCCTAAAAATAGTTCAGGTCCTCAATATTGCATTAAAACTAATGAATATTACCGTATGTGTAGTTGGCAGTTGGACTACCTCTAAACGGGCCATGTGTCATTGAACAGTGTATTCTATTATTATGAAGTTTTGATTAAGAATCATCGGAACTGCCCTTGATATCATTTTAGTATACAATTTCAAAGTGAAAACTCGATAGTGAATCTTAAGGGACCAAACACGTGTTGGATCTATGGAAACCGAAAGTAGTTTCCGAAACTATATCATAAACCGAAACGAAACGCATGTGTAACTAATGTCCAACGTTACACAAGCCCGTCAGACATTTTTTTTTGTTGTTATGTTTAAAAATAATAAAATTTCAACCTTTTTAGCTTCCTTTCGTAATTATTAATAAGAGCACAGCCACTAGATGTCGTTCTTCTGATGGGTTTTTTCGGTCTTTTTGACAACCTTGACCTTGTCACCTTTACGATTCGGGTTAAAATGCGGATAAATGTTGGAGGATAAACAACACACCACGCAAATTTGTAATGGAAGCATATAATGTCGATTGGATACTTGTAAAAACCCGACTAAACTTATTTATGTTTTAATGCAAGCAACTATTTATCCACTATATCACGGAATTAACTTAGATTCAGATAAATGAAATTAAATCGTCCCAGTACAGCATCCAATGAAGAAGTTGATTGGCTTATTATACCAGATTAAATTCTTATGCTTTACTCAAACCAACAACGGGTATATAAATTCCATCCCAAACATCGATAGAATATGATTACTTTCACCAGGAAATACAAATGTATTTTTTTAAAGTTTGTCGTATAGAAAAATACATTTAATTTATTATCGGCAACTGGTAACGTTAACTCGAATTAAAATGTTTTAACCCGTTCAAAATTCATTTTGTTACATGCATACATCGCCAACTATCGTCCAACACTTACATGATATACTTCTATGGACTTTTCTTTGATACTTTTATAAAAATGTTGGGTTACTATTTGTGTATATTGCTTTTAATAACTAGCACTTTCAATTTTCCGGCGATTCGCCATTTTATCTGCTGTTTTGTCCGTATTTTACCCTGCTAAGTCACCGGATGTGAGGCCGCATTCATGTATCCGGTTCTAAATAAAAGCTGAAAGGTCGATTCGCATATATTTTAGAATATATCTTAAAATATAGGCCTAGTAGATGGTGAAAGAAAAACATAAAATTATTTAGCTATCGTAATTTATTAGTTACAAGGGTGACAAAATTAATTTCCCCACTTCCGGTCCGAGTGCGTTCGAATCGGAACACGTGAAATTAAATCGTCCCAGTACAGCTTAATCAAACCAACAACGTGTATATAAATTCCATCCCAATTAATTTGTACAAGTGATTAGGAACGATTTATTACAATTTGTCTTATTCTCCTCTTTTCATTCATTTAGAATAACAAATATCAATTAAAATAGGTGTAACAATGAAAAGTGTATATGCAATATACACATAGCTTAGACAAATACGCAAAACATTAAAAACACACAATTTAAAATCTATTGCTAGATTTGATAAAAAAAAAAATGTCCAAAACGTATGTGATTATGTCCAAAGCAAAAATCTGAATTGCAAAACACAAGAAACTCTCAACTGAACGCTTTAGCTAATGCATTAAAAGTTTGAAACAATATGCCGTTTATTAGTAAATAAAAATGACCCGACGGAAAAATAAAAAGGCATTGGATGGACATGGATGTCCACAGCTTCAAACTAAACTTTTTTCAAACCAAATTTACTCTGTAAAGGTTATGCTGAAGGGAACAACATTTTTGTATCACAGATATAAAATCGTAACTCATTTCTGAATACAGAAAAAGTTCCAGTCATCTGTCTTTTCTGTTCACTTGAGTGAAACGTTTTATATATATATTTAGATAATAGATACTATGATATTAATACCATTATAGTTTTTTGGACCGGTATATAATCACCATTTTTTTTAGATTTCTTACATTTACATTTGGGAGTCGAGAGTCTGGCCTTTTTTCTTAATATCCTTGTATTATCCCACCCCACCCCCTCCCACAATCTTTACCTGCGCTTTTATTAATTCATAATAAAAGCTTTCCAGTTTTCTCCTCGACTTTTATCCGTCGTTTTAACCAACTTATTCGAATCATTTCAATATGAGATTTCAGCTCTCGAACTTTTAAACCACCTTGGATTGTTCCTCCAATCATTATATTTCTTTGAACCTTCCCCCTTTTTTGCCTCGCAAACATAATCATATATTTTACTTCCCATTTCCTTAATTTGTTCATCTCTAATCGCCTGATTTCTGGTTTAAAACGTGATTTTTGTTATAACTAGCGCCTGTATGACGACTGTTCACCCTATAATTGTTAATTTTCTTTTATTTAAATTTTTAACATATCATCAATTGTTACTTTTGTATTCTTCCAGTTTAAATTATTCCGTTTCTTGACTCAACGATCTGCATGATAGGTATTTGGTTGTGTCTGCAGACAAAGCGTTTACTAACTTAATCTTTGTCTGCAAGCACTATTTCTTTACCTGCGTGCAGAAAGAAAGAATTAGGCTTGCTAGATAACCGAGGAAACACTAGCTATATACATTTCCCCATTTTTCGAAAGACGAAATACCAGCAAATCACGCTTCCGTATTACAATCTTTCTGAATACCCGCTAATGATAAGGATACGGACCTGCCTCGTTTGTACTGGATTCCAAAACTTTAAAAGGATCCATATAAACAACGTTTTATCATTGGCCCTTCTTGTTACTCAACCAAGCCATTATCCAAACTTTTAATTTCCATTATCAGCACTATTTAATCAGGGCTGCAGTCGTATTGTGATCCTGTATAAATAAGAAGTGGAATAAACGGTATGTCGATTTTGAAGAATTCAAAAGATTTTTTTTTTATTAATACTTCAACCGCTTTTCTCGATCTCTACTTACAAAATGACCAACAGGGATGGCTTACTTCGACTTTCCGATCGTGAACTTTCCCTTTCTTGGTAGCAACATCCTTTAATTTACTTCCGCTAACTACTGTGTTAACATGGCGTAGTTGATTTGGAACGCAACGGTTTGCTCAGAATATCACGAATTCCGTGATAGATGTTGACTCTGCCGACG